GAACAGAGGCCAGGAACCGCGAGCCATAGATCACGCGTATACGTCGCGCATCTGCGGCGCCGTTAGTCATCGGCGACGAGGAACCCGTCCGGTTCGATTTCACGCGCGTTTCGTCGGCTCCGGTCGCTTCGACTTCGCTCCGATCTCGCTCTTCGGTTTTGCGCTTCGAGCTGCGACCAAAACGCTCATCGGCTTCGCGAGTACGGAGAACCGTTGACAAGCAACGTGGACAAGCAAGAGGTTCGAGTGATTATTATTTCGCACGGTGGTTGGTAAACTGGTTCTCGTCGATTACCGGTTTCATAGGGATGATCGGTTCGAAGATCGAGCAATAAATTATTTTGGCCCGTTGCTTGGGAGCTTTGGTACGAGTTTACCGTGTGGTTTGGAAAAAAGTGTAGAAATTTCCGGCCGTATCGTAGTTTTCCAATCGAGTGAAAGAAAGAGTTTTGGCGATACGCATTTGTCCTTTAATCGTCATTTTACATGCATACGATTTTCTGTTCCGTTCGCGTTCCTCTTTCGTTAAATGTTCGCGTTTTCGTTGGATATCTCGAGCGAGGACTGATCGTTGTATTAGCAATCTTATTTGTTTCCCTTAGCTTTAGTTCTTAACGTAGAACCGGAGTGACAGATTGATCGAACGTCATCGACGTTTCTTTTCCTTTTTCAAAATTGAATCGCTAAAAGTGCGCGATACATGTTACTAAATATTTATGGTAAAATCGAGGATCGAATAGCGCAGAAATACTTCGTTTAAACGGTAAATCAAGAAACTGCACCGTTTCCATGAAATATGTACGTATCTCGTTTACTTTTGGGACAAGGTGGCTACCGTCACTCGTTTCGGGATCTTAAGAGACGATGAAACGTTATCGAAGATTCGACTGTAAATTTCCACGACGTATTTAAGCCAGATCTGTACCGTCGATCAACTTTTAAGATCGGAGGAAATCCGCGATTCGCCAGTAAAAATCAGACGGATTATCTCGCAGGTAAGGAATCACTATTGATCGTATTTTCCAAAATGTTGCGTAGAGTGCGAAATTTTCTGGTGGACAAATAAGTAACTGTCGATAAAAATATTAAGAATGTGACAATATTAAAATATTGACTATTCTACGATGTTCGAATTACGTTGCCAAATTCTTTCGATCCGGTATCACTGTTATTACTGCGAACAGCAGCTACTTGGAAACTCGGTATGGTTTGCATGATCTAATGGAACAACCGAGATTCGTGAAACAATTTCGACGATCGAGGGTTTAACTTGGATCAAACGACTTGAGTTTTCTTGAGAAGTTCAAAGAATTAGTTAATTGGACGACGTGTCAAAGAAATTGCAACTGGCCAGAATCGCGAAGAAAATAGTAAAGGTCGCTTTTTACGATGAAAAGTATCGCCGACATTTTCGTTACAAGCTCGGATAAAAAAAGTCGTAAAAAAATGACTCTTACTACTTTCTTCGAGATTCCGAACAATTCCAATTTCTTGCCAAATTTTGTTACACTTCGTCGAGTAAACTAATGCCTTTGTCTTCTCTGAAGGCTCCAACTCGTTTGCTTCAATTGTGAAAAGTTACTCTGTTGTAAATGGCGTCCGAATATTAACAATAAAATAAAATCAATGTTTCCTTCAGAACAGCGATACGTAGTAACAGCGCTTGAAAGTCATTCAACGAGAATATACTAAATTTGCATTTTGTCAATGAATATTTTACGACCACGATCCACCCATCAATTTTCGCCTCTCCTTTTCGTTCTTTCGTACAAATTTTACTTGTTTATTAACTATCCTAGAATTCGTTGATCGTCCTTTATGCTGTTTTATAACGTAAGAGAATTTCAATAACTTCGATTCTTTACCAAAAGAATATGCTCTTACTGAGAGACTACCACATATCGTACACTTAACATTCCCTTCCTAACTTTATAGTTAGTTATTTATAGTTAACTAATAATCATACCATAGTTTACTAAATATTCCCTCCATTTTCCCTTTTCTCCTAATGTCTACGTTATATCTACGCCCTCCGCATCGATTACTTCCTCGTAACCCTTTCGAGGCGACGATAAAACGACCGAAACTCTAGAGAATTCGCGAATTTCTCGTCGGCAGTTCACAGAGCGATTAGCCGTGGCATGTGCCGCTGTCCGACAGTTCGTCGATTACCCTGCGTAAACGCACCTGTAAACCCGGTTTTCCGTCGCTGAGCCGTGTAATTGCCCGTCCACGGCTCGCCTCTGTCGCCTATAAT